ACTCTGCCTGGCCTGCCTGACCCCGGGCTCCCGGGGAGGTGAGCCAGGTCCCCTAGGTAACCCCGTGCTGAACACAGTCGGGAGCCAGGCAAAGCTGGCCCCTTCAGGAGCACCGAAGGCTGGTTTCTCCTCGCAGTCGGGCCTGCAGAGCTGCAGGTTTGGACAGGACAGTAAATGTCAGAGGACTGCGAGTTTCATTTACGTCTGAAACAATGGGAAGCCTTGGGCCGAACAGCCCCCAGGCACCTCTGCCGTCCTTCAGAGCTGTGGTTGCCCAAACTGCCCCGAGGCCTGGGCTGCAGGAGGCCACACCTTCCGGAAAGCCAGGCCTCAAGGACAAGGAGGGTAGGAGTTAAGGGCTGATGCGACCTGCAGTGCTCAGAAGACAGACCCTGAACCTCACGGCCCCTCCCTCAGCTTGGGAGGTTGGTTGGCTGGAAAAGTGCTGAACCTGCCTCTCATGGGTCCCAGAGACGGTTTATTCACAGGTCCCCCTGCGGGACCACCCACCGTCACAGCATTAGCTACTGCCTTCTGACAGGAGGGGGAATCTGGAAGACAAGAGTCCTTCTCTGAGTCCCAGCAGGTGTGGGGGTCCCATCGCTGCCACGCCGCTGGGCTGCTGCTCACCTGAGTCACTCACACCTGCCCTACACCCTGCCTCCCTTCAGACACTCCATTCTGTGGTTTCCGTACTTAACCGACATCCCGTCCCAAACCAGGCATCTGGTCTTCTTTACCTTCGTATTCTCTACAGGGCACAGATAGGACAGACAAGATGCTTAATCAAATTCGTTTTGTTTTTTTTCAAGAAAAGCTGTAAAGTGAGGTGCTCAGAAGTCTGCACAGCACTGCCGTGTCAACGCCCGGTCAGGGCAGTGCTGGAGGGACAACCTGCCGCCTGGCCACCGCCCGTCCCCCGCTCTCATCCCGGCTCCCCCCGTCCCCCCATGATCTCGCTTCCCTATTTGCTGTGCCTCTTTTCCCAGGGCCCATTTTTGTATTTATTTTGGATTTAACCTTTAAAGTTTTCCAGTGTGTCACAAGGGCTCTCCCAAGGGGCAGGTCTTGCCCTGGGAAGTCTGTGTTGCGATTTTAGAACCTTTGTGTGCAGGGGGCATGTCCACGTCCAGAGCTGCTGTCACTCAGGGCACAGGGCGCTTCTGGAGAGCAAGCAGGGGACCAGGGCCTGCCCTCTCCGTCCTACTCACCTGTGCAGGTTCTGGCCCAAGAACAGGCCTGGCCAAGGGCACGTGGAGCTGTTCCGGACTGTAGTGAGGGCTGTGCTTTACTGACCTTCTCACTGCCCGTCAGCAACAAGACCAAAAGCAAAAATGAACCAGATGAAAGCTGCGATGTGTGACCCCGAGGTGACAGGACAGCTGGGTGTCCTCTGCAGAGTGTTGTGTTCCTAAAAGCCATGGATGAAGCCTTCCTCTCCTGTTCAGTGGCTTACATAATACAGCCAATAAAATCCAAATACCAACGACCTTGGAAGTAAACAGGATGATCATGTTTAAAAATATTAACGATCTTCTTAGAAGTCAGCTGTTCGCTGCGCCAAGTAGCTTTTCCATCGCAGCAAAGACGAGGCAGTTCTGAGGCCCAGTCCTGACACCACATCCAGTAGTTCTTTAAAGACGGATTTGCTGTCGAAGTGTCTTCAGTTCAGAGATGGAGGCACCGGACCACAGACAGGTGGGGCAGAACTGGACATGTGATGCCACTCCTTTTCCATGACAACTCCTGTCTCCTGGGTCCTCCTTCCTCTGGACCGGGTGGGTAACTGGAGCACACAGGGTTTGGTCATACAGGCTTCCACTAGCTGGACACACATCCTGCTGAAGCCAGGTCTCCTGGGAGGTATGACCCATGGATGCTAGAATGAGAATCTTCCAATACGCAGCTCTAGATGGTTCAGGAGCCCAAGAAGACAGAAGCAGCGGCAGTGAGGCCTCAGCTCTGGGCGGAGTCTCCCCCAGAGGGTCCAAGTCCTTGTCCCACAGAATGTACACTGAGTGTCACTGGGCCCACTTCTCCCACAATCTCAGCCAGAGATAACATCTTACTCCAAAATCACATCATCATGAACACAAAACGCTGCACTCTACTTGAGATGGTTTTTGCTCTGATTAAAATTTTTATTGAATTCTCTCAAATGTTACCAAGAAATAGTTTTGTCAAAAGGGGTGGGGGAGGAGGGGGGTGGGGAATTGCTAACAAGCAAATTCAGCCTGGGAGCTCCCTCTGCTGGTCTGCAGTAGGTTGATACGTTACAAACACATTCCCAGAGACAAATCTAATTTGCTGGAGAAGTGGACAAAAGACAGGTGTGTTGGGCTTTGCCTCAGGACAGAAACACTAGAAGAAAAAAAAAATCCATGTCTCAAAACAGAGCACAACATTGCTGAGAAAAGCAAAATAATTTAAAAGCTTCTCCAAAGACATATAATATTTCCAAAACAAAACGGAATTACAACCAAGGGGATGCTCCGGTTGGTCTCCCCACTGCGCTACCTCCAGGTAATTACAACTCTCTCAGACCCTCTGGTGAAGGTTAAGTTCTGATTCCCTTGTCTTTGCCTCCAGTCTCTTCTTATAGGCTTCTCAGCTACTTAGAGAAGAAAGATCCAAGGAGTCACTGGAGTGAGGCCTTTTCAAAATTCCATCAAAGAATAAGTCTGGTGGGCCAGCGCTGTGGCGTGGGAAGAGCCAGGCCGGGAGTCAGGTGACCTGGCTCTACTCATAGCAGAGCCACTTGCAACTTGGGGTAACTGTCTCCATCTTCTCCGGTCTGTCTCCTCCTCTGTACAGTGGTCAGACCAGTGGATCTGTAAAGCCTCTGCCAGTGTGTTCTATGATGCTCACAGTGGACAAAGACATTTAAATAACACATCTGTTCACGAGTCCTTGGGATACAGAACCCAAGCTTGCGCTGGGAATGACTCGAAACAAGAAGTGGGTCGGGCACAAGGACCTCACCAACAGCAGACGAGAGTTCCACCACCGCTAGGACCCAGGTGGCGGAGCCAGTGGATTCTGGGCTGGGAAAGTGTCCAGATCCAGGAAGAGCTGACAGGGAAGGCGCCACCCTGGGCAGTGCATCCCGTTAAGTCAAGGGTTGAGTCCATCTGCTCGGTGCCGTCTCTCCCCGTCCTCTCTCACAATGGCATGGGCTTCCTAATCTCTTAAGACTCTTTAGTGTCTTTTCTCACCACAGCCCCAGATACTACTCGGATTTCATCCGTCACATGAATGAAGTAAGGGCAGATTACCCGGATATCATGGCCAAAAGCCACTACCCCCAGTCCTTTCTGTTACAATCAATTCTTGCTTTTCCAGAGCAATGGTGAAAGGCTTTGCTGTGGGTTACCCAAGACCATGGTAGTCAGAAGACCATGCAAACTTGGCCCTGTCCACAGGTTTTATTAACACTTGTCTTGGCTGTCAACTGATCCATATTCTAAGCATTCTAGCAAGAGGAAGAGGATGAAGAGGAAACCCTTCCACACAGGGCAGGGGTGGGGTGCCGGGGGCCCAAACGGAGGGGGCTCTGAGTTGTTCCATGTCATCTACAAAGTGATTCTGGGCCCACTTGAGCGGGCTGCCGGCCCAGCAGAAGACAAGCAGGCTCCGGTTCCGCCCCTCCTCCCTCTGCCTGCGTGTCCAGGGCACTGAGCATCACGTGGACTGAAGGGGGGAAGCAGCAGGGGAAGGAGGAGCCGAAAGCACAGCTAATCTGGACATGGGCACCTGGTCTCGGAATAACCCCGCTCCTTTCTTTTCTGGACCAAGTACCACCTATACTTTTCTTCACTCCTCATACTTTCTGCCTGTCTTCCCAACGCAGAGGGTATCATTGCTGGGGCCCCGGCGCGCGGGCCGTCTCTGCGCTCGCTGCCCGGTGCCCGGTGCCCGGGATGCCCAGCGGGCAGCAGGGAGCGCCGCTGGAAGGGAACGGAGGACGTCCAGCCGCCAGCACGCCTGGCGCCGCCCGTGCACACCCTCCCCGGCTGCTCGTCGTGTTTACGCAACACGGTGAGTTCTGCACAGCGCACTTCTCAGGCAAAAGGAAGCGGATTCTGGGAAGCTGTTTATTTCAGCCAGCCTTGTAAATAAACACTAAGCAAACCGAACAAAGAAAAGCCCCACCTGTCCAAGCCAACACGCTTGTAGAAACCAGGCTCTCCTGCTTTTAGAGCAGTTACACGACTGTGCGGCAAGACGGGGGAAAGTTGCCCTGTCTGTCACTCCCACTACCGATCGTCACGCGTTCCCTCGTGATACTATTACCTCCTGCACTAAAAGCAAAGCGATCCTCTCCAAGGGGAGAGAAAGGGTTGGTGGGTAGACAGTCATGTCTGTGAAGAAACAAGGGAGTTTGTTTATACAACTCAGGCTATTCTTAACAAAGAAGAAAAAAAAAAGCTGGTCAGAACAAAGGCCTGTAATTACATTCTAGACACTCTACTGAACCTTCGTCTCTTCGGGGTTTCCTGAGAGTGGAGAAAGGGACCCTTCCTTTCTCCTGCAACACGAGGCAGAGCCCTCCCTCCCGGCAGTCACCGGCTCCCAGAGAAGACGAGAGAAAACTCTCGGTACACACACACACAGACACATCACTCCTGCGACCAGGGCAGACCTCCCCTGCAGCCCTTCCACACGACAAGGCACACACACCTGTGCTCTGGCGCCGCCCTCGAGCGGACTGGGGGTGGGCAGGTCACCTGGGCCCAGCCTCTCGTGGGTGACATGAGGGTGAGATCATTAAGGAAGAGAGAGGTGTCATTTGGGGCAAACATCAGGCAGTGGGTGACATCATGGCTGTCAGATGGTCCTCTCAGTCCCGGAGGAGTGTGTCAGCTCGATTGAGAGGGGATCAGTAGTCTCTCGAAGGTGGATCTGTTAGCTGGATAGGTGTTAGTGGTATGGTGCGCTCTGGGAACCAGCTCTGAGGGGACGGGTGGGGAGTGAAGTCGTGGCCGATGGGTATGAATTACCTGGGCATGCAGTGAAGCGGGATAGGTGAAAGCAGGAGGAGGTAGAGCAGGCGCTAACTCCGCTGGGTACAGAGGGTACGGGGCCCACACCTCAGGGCTACTGGGGTAAAGTGCAGGCACTGTGAGCTCATCTGCAAGAAAAGAATAAGGGAGAGTTAGTGGTTACCAACAGCTGGTTTCAAATCAGAACAAAACACCAATAACCCCAAGCCCCCATCCGTGTCAGAGGTCACATTACTCTCGTTCTTTCAGTGACCTGTTGGCTCTGGTCCCCAAACTCCGAGCAGGGGATGGGACATGATGAGAGAAAGCAGTGTGTAGCTGTGGCCTGCGGCCTGTGGGGCGCCCGGCAGGCTCTGCCCCGGACACTCTGATGTCTTTCCAGCCGGAGCCGGGGGCCCGAGAACAGTGGGGATTTCTACATATAACAGCAACTGTGGCCCTCTAAGGGGAAAAGCAAGACAAAGAACCAGGAGATCTCTCTTGAAAACCCACTGCAGAGCCTTTGGGAGAACAACGACTTCCTGGCAGGACCCCGACTGACCAGAAGAACTGGAGGACTTTGCTGTTTATCAGTGTACTTAATAGATAAATAAATGATGATCATCAAGCATTTTACACTTGGCAGTTAGAAGCCCAGGACCAGACATTGTGCCTACACCACAGCGTAGAAGTTGTTAAACGTTCAGAGAAGGGAGGTGAAAGACTTGAGTATCCTGATTCAAGTTAAACTCCACAAAGATGCAAATAAGAATCTTCACAGTTGCCGTTGACACCGACTGCACTTATTTTCTAGGGGAAAACGGGAGTCAAGCTGCCAACTGACGGGTCTGCATGGTCCGTGTGCAGCTCCGGTTCCTCTCGGGTCAGCCGCAGTCTGCCAGACCGAAGGGCAAGTGTCTGGGCCCCAGAACGTGTCAGGAAGCAATCAATCCATTAAAGTAACAGTAAACACATGAGGGAGCATCTCAGCAGAGGCAGCAGCAGCTCCGATCAATAGCTACGAGCCTGGACCTGTGAAGCAGCAACTTCGATGTGCGCTTTTACCACCTGTCCAAATCTGAGCGCAAGTAGGTCAAGGGCGCTGCCCAGGGCTGCTGAGGGAGTCGGGAAAAGGTGACTTGATAAAGCCATTAGTGACTCCGCCACTCAGGGACTTTCCAGAAGTCTACAGTGCATGCGATCCAAGGAGGAGTCACCTTCTTCCTTCCCACCATCTAAGAGGCCACCCTCATCCTCGCCCCCCACCCCCACCCCCTCCCTGGCTCTGGGCAGGGTTCCAGTATGGGAAGGGGCTGGAAACAGAAAGCTGCTTTGCTGAGTGTGAAGTGGTGATGGCTCCATGGAGCGACCAGAGGCAGCCGAGCCTGTGGTGCAGGTGGACTTGGTGGGCAGGGGACAGGCGAGGCCTTCCACAGCCAGCCAGTACGGCACGGGCTCCTGCAGGATGGCAGAGGCCAGAGCTGACTGACGACTGTCCATTCGAGGGCAGCTCAGAGACGCCAAGTGTGTGACCTAACGTGGCTGGCCAGCCGGCTTCCCCAACACCTTCCTCTGGGCTCCCCGTTGGGTCTGTACTGATGCTCAGAGACAATTCACCGAATAACATTTGTACGAAACCTAACCCAGCAGAATGTGGGATTTGCCTCCAACTCCCCCAAACCCAAAGCCACTGAGTAAGGGGACAGTCGGCTGGTGAAGCAGACGCCTAAGAGAGTAGGGTGAACTCGCACTTGCTAAATCCGTTGATACACATCGTCATGTCTCCTTTCTCCTCTTGTGAAGGAATCACAAGGGCTTGCTGTAAATGCCAAAGCACGCAGCACCCAGGCGCAGTCAGGAAGAGGGTGACGCAAATGGGTCCAAGGAGATGTCCCTGCTGGCGACCCCGGGGGGAGGACTGAGGATCATTTCTAACATGTTCAAGGATCCGGGTCTTACTCAAGTCTGCACCCCGGGCCAGCTCTGGGGCTGGTATGTAGTGTGTAGTAACACTTGGTGCATTGAACAGTATCCAGTGGTAACTTCTAATTATTTAAAGACATACCACTGCTTTCTTTGTTAAAGGAACTTAGAAAGTATCCATAGGTACTAGATCTAAAATTTCACAATCCTTGCAGTATTTCTCCAGAGCAAATGTTACAGAGCAGTAACTTTCTTTTTTGTTGTTGCTGTTGTTAATCCTCACCTGAGGATATTTTTCCATTGATGTTTAGAGAGAGTGGAAGGGAGAGAGGGAAAGAGAGAGAAACAGTGAGAGAGAGAGACACATCAGGAGAGAGAGACACATCAACTGGTTGCCTCCTGTACACACCCCGAGACCAGGGCCGGAGATCAAACCTGCAACCAGGTACATGTCTTTGACTGCACAACCCTTTGGTCCACGAGCTGATGCTCTAACCCTGAGCCACACCAGCCAGGGCAGAGCAGTGATTTTCAAAGTTAAAAATAAAAGCAGTGGAACCCTTTCTTTGAACTTATTTTTCCCAGAAACACTTTTTAATGAAAGCATAGCTCTTCTGGTTGACTTCGTGGTGGTGGTGGGAGACAAGGGGCTCAGTCCATGACAGTCCCCAAGGTACACCAGGTTCCAGAGAACACGGTTTGAAAGCTGCTCTTATGGCTGCTCTCACCCAGAGACCAGTTTTCAAAGTAAGCTCCTCTTCAAGAATCTCCAATCTGAACTCCCTCCTGTAGCTCTGGGAAGCCCGTCTGGGAGGGCAGGCCCCGGGCAGCTGGCGCAGGGGAAGAGACAAAGAACAACGAAGCAACTGGGCTGGAACAAACAGGCTCTCCTGCCTGACATGGACCTTCGTGCCCGAAGTACCTTGGAGCCCATGGGGACCTTGAGTGAGCTTTTATAGCCTCACAAAGTACAGAAAAATCTGACCCAGGAAATATTTAACAGGTAAAACAACAAAAAAAGGCAAATAAAACTGCTGGAGCTATTTCCTTCTTCCTCCGCACTCCCAAGCCATGGCTGCACCTTCCTCTCTGCAATTCCCCGAGTGGTCAGGGCGACTGGCGGCGGCAGCTCGCAGGAGCTTGGTAGAAACGGGATCCTCGCTCCACCCCAGACCTACTGAATCAGAAAGTCTGCCCCCAAGTGATTCTGATGCATACTCTTGTTCGAGAACCACTGCTGTAAGTTATTTATCTTCTCAGTTTCCTTGTTGTATTATTAGCTGCTTGAGCAAATTGTTATGCATTTTGCTTTCAAAGAGCTTAGTACAGTACCTATACATCGTGGTTTGTTGAATGAACGAATAAAATGCCGCGCGCGAGAAAAAGCAAAGGAGAGCCATAATCCTGGACATGTTCTGTGAGAGAAGCTTGCTAGAGGGTTGAAGCAGACCAGCCTTACGCCCCTTGCTTGGCTCAGAGCCGCCATGACAGAGCAATTCAGGACCGTGGGGCAGCCCGACACGGTCAGGATCAGGCCTCCCGGGAAGCAGCCCTATGGACGCCTACATTTCAGTATGAGGCTGAGGACTCTGGGAACTCACTATCCTTTGATGCACGAACTCTTTGCACTTGTACATTTCTTTTGATTGTTAATGAGTCTGAGAAAATTGCAACGGCTGGAGACAGGATTTCCACAGCACGGGCCCGTCATGTGGGTCCCCAACTGAAGGGCCAGGCAGCAGCAGCAGGAGCAGCCTGGCTCAGGGGGGCACCTTCCTACTCACACTTAATAGAATGGGACGAGAAAGTGTGCTGCCCTGGGCCCACGGGGATGAAATGAGGTTCAGGGAGTGGGTGAGATTCCCATGAGAAAAGAAGCGCTTGACCACTCTGCCAGGTGAGCCAGGCCCCAGGGACCCCCGAGAGATCAGCAGGCCAGGGCTTTCCGTCTGGGCCCAATGCAGCCCTCCTGAGAGGCTCGCTCACGCCTTCCCCTGCACCAGATCCTGCTATGTCCTTTCTCCTCAAGGGTGCACCTCTGAGGATACTGTTGCAGTCTCAATATGCAACTGAATAGGACTTTTTCTAAGCATAAAAATATGCAACCAGAGGAGCTCAAAAAGAACTGGACATTTCCCAACGCCACCCCCAATCCCTTGGAAAGAAAGTGCAGTCCCTGAGGCAGGTTTAAACCCCAGGAAGTCGTGAAGGTCACCTGGTCTTTCTTTTCACTTTAGATGAGGAAACAGATGCAAAAGGTGAGGCTTCCCGTCTAAGATCACCCTGAAACCGAGAGAGAGGATGGACTCCTGACACAACCGAGAGAAAGAGGGCTGGGGAGTCTTTAAGAGACTTCATCCTCGTGAGAACACAAGCTCCGGGAACTTTAAATCAGCTCTGTATTTGCTCTGCCCATTGGATACTTCTACTTGGAAATACTGCACAGCAATCTCATGCTCCACGCGTCTGAAACTAAACACGCTCCCTCCAATGGCCTGTCCTCCTCCTTGGTTCCAGATTTCAGTCAAAGATGCAACCCTGGTAGTCACCCCATTCTCCCTCATCTTCACAATTTCACCAAGGTCCTAGGTAATCTATCTCACGCACTTCGATCTTCCCCACCACTGAATCACCGGGAAGGCCTCACAGTCCTCCTGGCCACAGTACTGCAGCCAGGACAACTCTTAAAATACACAACTCACTAGTGTCACTCTCCCACCTAAGCCCTTTGTCGGGTTTCTTTGCTCTCTGGATACCGTCTGAGCTCCAGCCAGCAGGCCTAGAAGACCCCACAGGATCTTGCCAGCCTTCCTCCCCTGCCCCGGCGATCCCCAGGTTCTCCCTCCAGGTCTAGGATCAGTCATTTTCATGGCTTGACCACACACTTGTTCCCTCTGCCAGGGGTATTCTCCTCCCCTCCCTTCCCCTGGCTTAACTCTTACTCATTCTCCAAGGACTCCATGGACCTGGGCACTGGAGGGAAGCCCTCAGCTCTGCTGCCTCCTGCACCTCCCACTCAGCAGGGACCTCTTGCTCTCTGCTCAGCTCAGTGCCTAGCACAGTGTATCAGAATGTATCAAGAAGTCACACTCATTTGTTCTATACTTGATAAAATAAATGGAGAAAAAAATGTTTCCATCTTGCCCTTCAGAGGAGAAGATGATAAAACTATAGGTTAATTCAATTCTGTGTGGGAGGGAAATATGCACAGAAAGAATATGGACAT